GACAAATGTTGTCGTAAGAAGACACATAAAGGACACCACCTAGGATCCAAGAAGTCATCCTCAGGTAGTGCTGGCGCGCCCCCTCCTTCTGGCAAGCATCAAGACGCTGTGTTCAGTCATTCCTGCCGTTGTGTACTCCAGATGGGGAAGCACTTCACTCCTGAAGATCGTCACTAGGGACGGACCGTCTAGATATCTGAACGACCTTCTTATAAGACCCAATAATTTATTTGCCTGATTTACCTTCTTCTCACAATGGCCCGAGAACTTCAGCTCATTGTCAACATACACACCTAGGTCCTTCTCACACACAGTCTCAACTAGTACATTTTCTTCATCCCGTTGGGACATATGGTACGCCTCCTTACCGTTGGTACGCCCCAGGTGCATCCTCTTACACTTCGTGACATTGAATCTCAGCAGCCATTCCTTCGACCATTCCTGGAGCCCACAGAGGTCCTTCTGCAGCTCTTCACAGTCCGCTTGGTTCTTAATTTCCCGAAATAACTTGGCGTCATCGGCAAACATTTGTATGGAGGAGTGTACAACGTCAGGCATATCATTTATGAAACAAACAAACAACAGCGGGCCCAATACACTACCCTGCGGTACCCCACTTGTTACAGGTACAGATGACGATTTCGTGCCATTAATCACCACACATTGCTTGCGGTCATGTAGAAAGTCTTCTATCCACGCTAGGACATTTCCCCGAATTCCGTACCCTTCCAGTTTGATTTTCAGCCTTTCGTGGGGTACACTGTCGAAAGCCTTGGCAAAATCTAGGTAAATATTGTCGATATTACCACCCCGTTCTAGAATATGGGTCCAAATATCCAATACCTTGAGCAATTGTGTCAAGCAAGAGCGCCCCGGCATAAAACCGTGTTGGCAATCTTTTACAAGGTTGTTTCGTAGTAGATGTTCCATCGCTGCATCTCTGATAATACTCTCAAGTACTTTACATATTATGCTGGTCAGGCTCACCGGTCTATAGTTGTTCGTGGAGTGCCTATCGCCCTTCTTGAAGATAGGACTCACATAAGCCACTTTCCATTCACTGGGGACCATTTGTTCATCCAGGCATTTACAAAACAGAATCTTCAGGGGCTCTGCAAGCTCGTTGCACAGCTCCCTTAGCACTCTAGGATGCACCATGTCAGGTCCAGGACTCTTATGGACCTTTAGCCTGGACAGTTTATTTCTAATACCCTCTTCTGTGAACACAATGTGGGTCAGTGCTGTGTCGAACCGTCTGTCCTCAAACGCAGGAAGGTTAGTTGCATCCTCTCTTGTGAACACTGAGGAAAAGAAGCTGTTCAATGCCTCAGCTTTATCCTGGTCAGAATCTGCGTAACTACCATCTTCAAGCCTCAGGTCTGATACTCCTACTCGCGTTTTCAATTTCGACTTTGCATAGCGGTAAAACGCCTTTGGGTTTGACTTGACCTCGCGTGCAACCAGCCTTTGGAACTCCTTTTCAGCCCTCCTACACTCTATCTTTGCTTGGTTTCTGGCTCTTGCATACATCCTCCTGTCTTGCTCATCGTTTGACCCAACCCACGTCTTGAATTTCTGGGTTTTCTTCTTAATTTTGTCGACCGCCGCATGGTTCATGTGTAGGGATCCCCTCGTATTCCTAGAAGCACTGGGTTTGGTCTTGGGTATATATTTATCGATCAAATGGGTCATTTTACTAGTTATGATATTCAGCGTAGTGTCTGCGTTCTTGTACCTTAATAAGTCAGGCCAGTTGATACCCCTCATCTCTTCCCTCATCCCATTGTAATTTCCCTTGTAATATTTGCACCTTGGCCTGGCCTTATCTTGAACTAGGTAACAGTTAAATCTGAATGACAACACTGTATGGTGACTGGTGCCAACTGGGGCAAGGTGTTCCAGTTTGGCCACCATACCCTCCTCGTTTGTTATGATGAGGTCAAGTGGCTTGGGTGTTTGCTCCCCTCTGTAATGTGTCGGGTCTCTCACATGTTGGAACAGAAAATTATCTCTCAGAGTTTCTACAAAAAGAGTAGCAGGATTATTCAAGTCATTCGGGGTTGACTCGTTTCTCCAGTCGATGTCGCCATAGTTAAAGTCCCCCATGATAAGGAGGTGGCTGGGGTTGAGCATCGCCGCATTGTTTATTAAGGTTCTTAAGTTCCTTTGATTTAGTGGGCCACAGTTCGGGGATCTGTAGATACACCCGACGATAAGTAAGTCCCCTCCCTTTAATTTAATTTTACACCACTTGGACTCTTCAAAAACATCCTCTCCCTGTACCCTCGCCTGGCTGGCTCTAAGGTCTTGCCTAGCGTAGATAACCACACCCCTCCTGCAGGATTCTTGAGTTAGGTTCGTAAATGAGTCATATCCAGCAATACTGAACTCACATTCCTCTGGGTCGATTCTCCTGTTCTTGTACAACAGTTCTACAACTCCTACAATATCTGGTTGGTGTACTCTTAGTAGTGTTTCAAACTCCTCCCTCTTATCAAGGAACGTGTCGGTATTAGTGTACATGACATTCAAGCCAGAATTTGTTCTCGGTAACGTCTCTGCTCTTAGTAATAAACCCGCTCCACCCACATTCTCAGAAGCTGCAGCATTTGCTAAGTACACTGTATTTTGCAGGGTGTGGTTAAAAATGTCATTGTTTACACGGCGCTCGTTCCCTCCTGTCCGGTAGGCTGAGCTGGTGCCGCCTCCCGGGTGGGGGGTTGAGTGGGTGGAGGGTGCACTGCTGCCCCCTGGCCCTGTGTCGGCACACTTGTTTCCACTACCCTCCCCCTGAGTATAACCCATGTGCACCTGTCCCCGTTCCTCCTCGACTCCTCCCTCTTCTGCTTCAAGTCCAGCAGGAGCTTCTTGTGCTGTTCCCTCTGCATTACCGTGCGGTCTGGGTGAATAAATACATCCCGAAATGCCTCGCTCCTTGCTAAGTTTTTTGCCTGCCGGATAACTTGCCATTTTTCCTCCTCACTCCCTAGTGTGATCCTGAGGGGGCGAGGCTTAGCCCCCTGCTTTTGTCCCAGTCTCCTCACATCCTGAGGGGTTGCTGGAATCTTCAGAACCTCTGTGCAAATATTTTGAAACAGCACCTTGTCGTGTGTTTCCTTACTCACAGTTCCCTCTGCCTGGCTCTCTGGGACTCCAAAAACTATTACATTGTTCCTGCGCTGGAGCCGTTCCTGGTGTTCCTCCTCTCCCCTAACAGTAGGTGCGTTAATTTTCATTTCTTCGACACACTTTTTCAGAGTCCCAATCTGCTGTAGAACCTGTACTGATTCTGCATTACTCTCCGCCCCCCCCCGTGGCCCTCCTAATACGTCCGCATAACTCCTCTTAGCAACCACCTCCATTCTATTAGCTACTTCCTCAGTCTTAGCAAGGATCTCTTTCTCAACTTGCTCCAGTTTGTCAACCAGCAGGGCTCCTGCTTCATCTATTTTCGTCCCTAGAGAACTCGTTCCCTTATGGATTGCAATCGCTTCATTCACCTTGACTATGCAGCCAGGGCAATACCAGCAACAGCCATCAAGCTTTACGGCAGTTAGTAACCTCCTAAACGCTGCATTAGTTAGGCCTGCATCCTCCATATCCGACGTCTCCCTGCAGTAATCACATATCAAACTCATGGTTGTTGTTGTTGTGGGGGGGGGGGTGCAGACTGTGTATAAATCTACACCTATTTCAAAGAAAATAAAGAGAGAAAAAGTACTTAGCTACTCTCTGTTGCCTATGGAGTTGTCGTCTGCGACTGCGTACACTGTATCTCCCTGTGAATGGTGTATTGTAGGCACAGTTTCAGTCCTTGAGAAAGCACACAATCAACATAAAATTTAAAGTCTCTGTGGCACCTATGACACGACTTGGTTTCAGCTGGCACGGTGCCTTTCCAGCTTGCTTGCTAGTGAGCGCTCACTTTAAGTTATTTACAACTTCAGCGGTCACTGATGACACTATGAACTATCACTGTGTACACTGTATCTCCCTGTGAGTGGTGTATTATAAACACAGATTCAGTCCTTGAGCAAGCACACAACAAAATAAAATTTAAAGTCTCTGTGGCACCTATGACCCGCCCGCCCGGACTGCTCCTCCAGTTTGGGTTACGTTACTTAAACCCAAATAATAAATATATGTGAACGGCCTGGCTAATTGGACACTCCAGCCGATTCATCAGATAGAAGGGAGAAGGAATCGGAACAATTACTACAAGTGAGAGGTGAGAGTAGAGAGATGCCCCGGGCATCAACCTCAGAACTAAACAACATTGATATTACCAACACGTGCCCTTACAATCAGTAATATCATTCTAGATGTAACAACATATTTTATCACCCAATATATGAGTGCATAAAACAATAAAATAATACACAGATCAAGTTATGAAATAATAAAAGAATATTTACTTCTATCCTCTTGGCAGTACAGCTCAAACACTGTTTCAATTATAAAAGTTAACCTTCGCAAATTAATGTAAACTTAGAGCACTAATTTTCATAGCCGAGGTGCACCGTAACAGAGACTAATGAATATATATGTAAAATTATCGCCCAAGGAAAGTATATAAAGTAATTTTTGGGGTTACTAGGGGGGGGGGGTTGAGAACGGATCAGTGTTATAATACTACCACGAACTAGTTTATTTAATGCTTAACATCAACTAACTAAGATTTACCTAACGTAACTACCTGATGATAGTTTATTATTACTTAGTGTTACTATAACTACCTAATGATAGTTTATTATTACTTAGTGTTACTATAACTACCTGATAATAGTTTATTATTACTTAGTGTTACTATAACTACCTGATAATAGTTTATTATTACTTAGTGTTACTATAACTACCTAATGATAGTTTCTTATTACATAGTGTTACTATAACTACAAATGATAGTTTATTATTACTTAGTGTTCAGTTTATAAAACAGTAAGAAGTATATGTAATACAATTATAAAAAGGTGTATCAGTAGCAGAGTAAAGTTTTTTTTTCAGATAATATTAAGTATATAATAATAACTGTTTAAACTATGTGATGTTAGTTTATAATTATTATATTAGGTGAAGTTGAGTTGCAAGATGTTCGTGGTAAGTTATTAACAGTGTTCATCGCCTCACTTGTAAACATTAAGTCGACTAAAATGTGTTACTTAAAATAAAAACTTGGAGGATTTAATACTTAACTACGTCATTAACACTGTGAGTTGTTTATTAAATTATGTATGACTTATATATACAGTTTATGATAAAGGTGTAGATAACGGCTACCACCAGAAGGAGTTTGTTGAATTGGTTAGAATTTAGTCTACAAAAATAATACTGTATGATACTAAACCTGACCTAACATACCCATAGTTGGGTATGTTAGGTCACGTTTTATTAGGTTCTACACAATAATATGATATTAAACCTGACCTAACATACCCATAGTTGGGTATGTTAGGTCAGGTTTTATTAGGTTCTGCACAATAATATCATGATATTAAACCTGACCTAAGATAACCATAGTTGGGTATGTTAGGTCAGGTTTTATTATTTTCTACACAATAATATATTAAACCTGACCTAACATACCCAATTATGGGTATGTTAGGTCAGGTTTTATTAGGGTCTGCCCAATAATATCATGATATTAAACCTGACCTAACATACCCAACTATGGGTATGTTAGGTCAGGTTTTATTATTTTCTACACACTAATATCATGATATTAAACCTGACCTAACATACCCATAGTTGGGTATGTTAGGTCAAGATTTATTAGGTTCTACACAATAATGTTATGATATTATACCTGACCTAATTTGCTTCATGTTACTAAATCTCAAGAGGTTATTTCCTCCTCTGAATATTGATGTGGTGCATGTTTCTTGCTTATGTCAGAGATGTTTTTATATTGAGTCAACTAACTTTCTCTAGAGAGGATGTACTTTTATCATCCAAAGTTTCAGTGCCAGGAGAGTTGTTCCTCACGTATGATGACATCTTCTGTTTAGGGGGAGGGATGAGCTCAGGTGTCTGGAAAGAAAGTCACAATTTGGGTTAGAAAAAGTCAGGGATATAAACTCATCATTTAAATAGCCTAAATAATGTTAAGTTAGGTTAAGGTTTGTGACTTTTTCCTACATTCTGGGATAATGACACATCATGGAGAACCAGATCATTGTGTTCACTCAGTAAAGGTTTATTGATTCATCCAAGTACTGTACCCAGGTCCACACTGACACTTCCCTGGCCGAACCTCCATCTAATGTATGAATGTTTACAAGATGAAAACAGCACTTTGAAGCATGTGGGTGATGTGTAATGGTATTTTAACTGGTATGGTTGTTTTAATACATAGAGTGCAAATCTGTTGAAGAAGTACTCTTCAAATATATACATGGAACAGATGACAGCTGGTTTGGTATGATACTAATTGCTTTAATTAAGTTCTGAACTTTTAAGTGGCAGGTCTTGATGTAAACACTTCTTGGCATTTTCTGTTTTATTGCTGAGAGGTTTATATGCAGCTATAATCTGAGAGAATATTATGTGAATAATCTCCAGGGAAGTGTTGTGAATATCACTTCTATTAAGTGTGAACTTTCCTGTCTAGTGGTATGGAGAGAACTGCCCCTCTCTGGGGTGTGAGAGAGTGGTAGCGAGCGAGCATTGTTTACTGAATCCACTGACCCTGGCTTGAGCCCAGCGATAGATGCAACCTCTGTGATCTAGTCATAAACAATATGGTGAATCACTTGTTGAATAATTTAATGAAATACTTGGAGTTAGGGGTATATTTATATTAAGCAAAGTGCTGTTACAATTTTGTAAACCAACCAAACCTGTCTTAACCTATTGTGAAGACCGTGTATTGTAATGCTGTACTGTACTACCTTTTTTGTAGATATTAGTAATTAATAAGGACTGAGTCACATAGGTAATGCAGTGAATATTATTCTTTATAAGTAAGAATTATTTATTTGCTACATTGTACAGAAATTTATAACAATCTGATGTTGTGACTTCACTCTCCCTTCACTTGCTGAACAGGGGCCGGATACTCAAAAACATTTATGGGACTGTATGTCGTTGTGTAGCCCGTAACTGGACTTACAGTCTCAGATTGGCATACCTAAAACACAGATGGTATACTCAAAACAAATATTTGACATCGAACTCCGTAAGTTAAAGCAAGTAACTTACATCAGCCCCTGAGGTTGTGTAACACTCTCAACCCGGATGTACTGTAGTAGTCACTAATTCCCGATTGTATAAAAAATAATAATAATATATGTTGTAATAATGCTTGTTAGACTTGTTTTATCATAGAATAATGAAGAAAATGTTTTGTACATCAACATACTGAAATATAATATTTCACTTTGTCTTTTTGGTAACTTTTTTGTTGTATAATAAGAGGCTTTGAGTGTTTGTATTTGTCGCAGTTTGGAAGAGACGCATCTTTTGTCTTCTTACAAATTATAAAGTATTTTTTGCCAAAACAGAAGGTTTATATTGTTCACACTTAGGGTAAAAATATGTTTTATGACTGAGTAAACTTGCAGATAGAACTTATTAATGTTGTATAGCCAGAAATATCCCTCGGTAATGAAAGCCAAATATGAGGTCAAGTGAACATTCCTGCCAAGACTTCGCTTTGTTTTTCTAATATGCAACCAGTAGCCTCAGCCTATTTTCTATTTTATATGGCTTATGATAACATGAAAGGCTATAAATTTCCATAGGCTAGCCAAAATTAAATGATATTAGGCATAAAATATGGATTGCAATTACCTTGATTAATGGGGGCCTATATAACTGCTTTTTCAGTCTTTGGCCAATTAAAGGTTAAACGTGGGGCCTACTTAATTTAGTTAGAACATGAGGAATATTTAAATAAGAAATTATACCAATAGATTATAGGTTTCGTGTGGTTTGGTTATGTTATGTTATGTTATGGTATGGTATGGTATGTTAGGTTAGAGAATGTGTACATGGTTTTTTTGGTGTGTGTCAGGCTGTCAGTGAGACACTTTGTCTAGCAACTACCTTAGGCCTAGTTCCAGACTTTTCATGAACAGTATCATAGGGTAGAGTATTAATTTAAGAAAATTTACGGCTAATCCGATATATTTTCATGTTTTAAATTGTTGTTTTTTGTATGAACTTGAAGACAAATTCAGACCAAATGACCCAAACATTGAAAGGAAAACACCATGTTCTAGGCTAAATGAGTAATTTAAGAGAAGTGATTTGTCATTTAGGTTAGGCAAGGTTATACTATCATTAACCAATTAATTTGAAATTGCCCAGAATAAGGCCAACATTAGGCCCGTGGTTATTTACCCAACTTCTATTATGGGTAAAACGCCCAATACTGTGTTATTGTAGGGTTACGTGATGTTGTCTCACACTCAGGATGGGTTGGAGAAAGGAAACTCTTAATGGTGGTTTCTTATATAAAATATATTATATACAAAACAGTCTGGTGCTGGGAAGTTGTTGCTTGGAAGAGGAGTTGCTGCATGGTAGAGTAACCACTACAAGATTTCGGTTAGCCGGAACAATTGGTAAAGAGCACTTCCGTGAATGAGAGTTTTCCCGTTAACGAGATGATTATCTCAAATCAAGAAAATATCCCTCGTCCCTCGAATTTTTATGGTAATGGAAGAATGTTCTCAGTAGTTCCTGAAATTGCCCATTACATCATCTCTCGAACCCAGAAATATATCCCCCATCTCCGGAATTTTTTCGGTTATCTGGGAAGCTTTTCTCATAATTTTCAGGAAAATGTGCCCCTTTGAAAATCATTACCTAAGCCATAAGTTTCCTGCAAAATCATGCTTTGGGAATTAATTACGGCTTTCAGAAAGTTCCGGGTTTCAGGGATTCCGGCTAACGGAGATATTACTAACTAAGAAAATGAACACAGGACAAAAGACTCTACGGCTCCTGAGAATGCTGCTGTTCCTGCCAGAAAGCAGTTTCAAATGCGAGTATGTGACAGACAAGAGGCAATAGGATATCTTTTAAATGCTTTTAACACTCTTATTTACTTTCATACTGAACAATTTTATTCATTTTTAAATGAGTACAGAGATTTTAACACGCTGTGCATTTTTAAGTATTTTAACCCTAATGCCAGGCAAAACCTTAAGGCCGTAATTTTTTTTTTCTTAGGCATAACCCTTCTTTTGTAGGCCTAATGATAAGACGTTGAATAAGTTAGTATCAACATAAAAACACTACTGTTTAATAATTATTTTTTATTGCAGTATAGAGGTAATGCCAATAAAGCATACATTGAATTAACTTTTATTTTCAATATACTGTACCTAATAAAATAAACTTTATAGAAAATACAGAAAATAAATGGCTTTCTTTTACCTTCATAAGATAAACATTTTATATAGGAAGATAAAATATGAACTATATCCTTAAGCAAATTTGATTCCAATACAGTATACTTTTAATACTACTAAATACCAAAGGCACTAAAGTTTGTGAAAACAAAAATCATTATATAAAACATATTTGAGAAATTGAAACAATAAAAAATATTGCCACTGTTTGCTTCTTAAACTACACAATTTGACGTGGGTCACCACATCGTTGTGAAAAATTAATACAACTACTGTTAATTGTTGCCATTTTTAAGATTTAAAAATGGAATACAGTATAATTTTCATATGTCTAGAATTACTGAAGGAACTCTCATGACTAGAATGTACCTGCATCAATACCCGTATATTAAAAGAAACTTATAACCAAATACTGTACTACTATAAGTAATAAAGAAAACAAATAGCAAACTCTTGGCTTGTTAAGCTATACAATTTAGCATGAGACAGCACATCCTTATGAAAGAACCAATGCAACAACTTGCTCTTTGGAGAATAATGTGTGCTAAATAGCAGTGATTACAGTAGGCTGTTGGTGAATTTGCACCATTATTTCTGTTTCAACCTACTTGAATCATACATTAAAAAAATACAAATTAATTAATAAAACAGGTTGAACTAGAAATTAACTACGTATTACAAAATAAAGGAACCTTTAAAAAATAAAAATAAGTACATGAGTCTGTTTTCAAAGCTATACATTTGATTGTGGTATGAACTTTTACCCAAAACCTGGGTAAACATTATCCGTAGTAGCACTGCAACACATGTTATTAGTTAACAAGTGTGTATATCCTCAGTCAGCAAGATAGTTAGAGAATCCTCTTTCTCTTGAACGGTCCTAAACATAGATTCCTCGATGGAATGAATAGCCGTAAACCTAGCTCCTGAGGGTCCTGGGGTTTGTTCTCTTTCTTCTTCTGGAAAGAAGTGTATAATAGTTTGATTGAAGTCTATGTTAAGGGTATAATTAAAATATATAAATATAGAAAAAAAATGGTCGGAAAAATAGTGTTGACCATCTAAAAATATTTGTATAAAATATTTTTATATGTAAATATAAGCTAAGCTAAACATAGTTACAATATTATAAATTGATTTAATTATAATATACGACATTTAGTTCCAGGCGTTAAATTTCTTATATTTGCTCTTCTCAATTTTTTCCATTCACATACGAGTTATAACAACATTTAATATCTAACTTAGGGAAGCAATACGCCAGCTATAAATTTAACTAACTTAATAATGTTGCTTATTTTTAAAAAAATATGCAAAAAAATAAGTATACTGTATTCCAAAAGTAAGATAATAGTGAAAAAATAGTACCAAAATTATTTTTGGAAATAAAAACAAGGACAGAAAAGAACAAAATATATCAAGGGGTTGGAAAAGTATGTTGAGTGAATTACCATCAAAAAGTTCCTCACTTTCCAAAATCGCTGGAATTCCATGTGTAAAGGCTGGATCTAAGAGTTGAAGAACTGCTTCGTCAATTGCAGTGTATGTACAGGGTATTTTCAATTTGGGGGCAGCCTCCTTCAAGAGAAAAAAACAATAAAAACTTTCTTACTGTGAGCTGTGGTTACATACACTGTACACAACTATGTTATATATACACTAGTACTATGTTAGAAAGGAATCTATTGAAATAGTTCCAAACATTATAACCTAACCTATCATTGTAGCTGTAGTCCCCAAAATTCTCCTGTATCTTTGTCAAAAGTTAATTAAATTTACTGTAACAATCAATAAATGGTAAAATAAGTCAAAAATGTTAATAGCAGCCAGAATTTTTCAACCTGTATTACTTGTAAATGCATAAGATAGAACATCATTGCCTATAAGCCTAACAAAGTAAGATTTGCATATTAATGTAGACCAAATATGAATTTAAATCATTTGATGACTCAAAATTAACGACAAAAAAAACATGAGGAATTCTATAGTAAGCTACATATTATCACCTTCATTACCGTCAAAAATAACGTAATTACTAATATGTATTTTATAACAGTAACCAAACCTACCTATCCTAACTTCATTACCAACGGGAGGCCTCCGCCACCCTGGACCACCAAGAAGAATATTAAATATCTCTGTTCCATGTCATTTACGACGCAATGATTAGTGTCATAAAATTGTCTCAACTACTGTATATGATAGGTATATTAAGCAAATCCAAAAATTGTGGGGCAAAAATTAGCAGTAATACCGACTAGCCTTTGGGTTCATTTATCGGCGGTACAGTTTTTACTATTTATTCACATGGCAAACTTCGAAGAATTATGTTTCTTTTAATGAATGTGCTCATATAAGGAAAATATGTGCATTAATTCACGATGAAAAGCCACCATACACTACTTCCTTGAGTTTACAATCACCTCAAATCATAGCAAGCCTCAGAAAAAACAGAGTTAAGTTTGTTTCATAGTGGCAATCAATACCTAGGCTAACAATATTATGACTTACCTGTTCCACCTGTATATTTATTATCTTACTTTTACTTTTTACTTTTATCCTCTTCGCCACTGATCAGCTCGCTAGGCGCCCGGGTGATCGGTCACGTCTGTCACATACTGTTGAGTGTTGTGCTGTTTTTTCTTAACGCTGACACGTAAATTGTTGGGCAGCCACAACATTCACTGCCTTTACTACTTCTTACCAGGCATGATTCTTCAATTTGATTGTACATCTCGAGTCCAATTTCCCTAAAAATATTTTCTTTCTTTTGGCGACTTCACACACCATGGCGCATACTTCAGTCTCACTGAAATTTGGTCGTTTCTTCAGGTGGTTGTCCTTCCATCTTTTGTTTACAAACTAATATCACGTGCATCGCTCTCAGCTGATTTCTCCTTCTCTTGTGATTGGTTGATGATTTTGTTAACTGAGCGCTCATTGGCCAACTAGCTCCTGCACTGACATCTACCTTCCGACAAGAGAACTTAATTTACAGGGTAAACACTAGAGTTATGAAAACTTACGAAAGGCTTACGGAACTGTAATAAAATTTTGAGTATGCTAAATTTACGGTACTGTAAAGATTCGACAATATATGGTACTGTATCATGCTGAAAGACTTAACTTATGAGGTGTTTTGAGTATCCGGCCCCAGTTCTGTAGGATTTATTGCTCTTTGTGGAAAGTAATTTTTTCCTCCCAAAGTCTTGAGTAGCTGGGCACTTCCTTGACACTTGGAATGACACAAGGTAGCTCCTGCAAGATGCACATTATAAAATCGTTTCCACATTATTTCAGATATAAAGATGCGAGTGGATGGACATAAGAAAGATACAGGAGGCCATCCCACACAAACATCTTCCACCACAACACAAGATTAAAGCTGTATAAAACAGGAGGCAGAACAATTCCTCACAACTGTACAATAAGTCAGTACAGTATGAGGATTAGTGAACATCTTCAAAAGAACATTGTAAGCAAGATTAAGGTAAATTGTCAACTCTCCAAGTCTTAAGTTACAAATTTGAAAGGCAAGTTGGTGTTCTAGGAAACAGTGAGAATAAAAAGAACATTCACACAAGTGAATCTTCTCCTGAAAATACCAATTAAGTGGTGCACTGTGTTATATATTGTTTAAATACAGTATGATGAGTGTTGCAATGTTTCTACCTAAACAACTACCTTGTGACTCTTATGCCTGTGTACACTGCTGATAAACGTTCCATTATATAAATGCGACAAGTGTTTGTCTGCCGTGCTTGTATACTGGTGAGACAAAGTTCACTTGTAAATATTCCTCATACAATAGTGAGCTCAAGAACCGCATACATGTGCAGAATTATTAATGCAAATTTAGCTGTGAAGAGTGGATAACTTTTTTATACAGTCAAAAGTTACCCAAAAGTGTGTACACTGAGGGAAATATTTTCTAGTATGGAGTGTTGTAAAGTTTGTAAAAGATGGCCCAGTTTATGAATCAAATAGCTGGACATGGTGGCCAAAATAATTATGAGTGTGTACAGTGTGGTGATTTATTTTACAGTAGTGATTCTCTGAAGATGCATACCTGTATGGCCGAACACATTGATGAGATAAATATTAAGTATGAAGAAGTTGATGAAAGTTTTAACAGTAACTTTGATGTGACACAACATGTGACTGTTGATGAGAAAGATATTAAGTGTGAAGAGTTTGATGAAAGTTTTAACAGTAACTATGATGTGACACAACATGTGACTGTTGATGAGAAAGATATTAAGTGTGAAGAGTTGGATGAAAGTTTTAACAGTAACTATGATGTGACACAACATGTGACTGTTGATGAGAAAGATATTAAGTGTGAAGAGTTTGATGAAAGTTTTAACAGTAACTATGATGTGACACAACATGTGACTGTTGATGAGAAAGATATTAAGTGTGAAGAGTTTGATGAAAGTTTTAACAGTAACTATGATGTAACACGACATGTGACTGTTGATGAGAAAACTCGTAAATGTCTGGAAAGTGGTAAAAGTTATAACCAAAAGGGACAACTAAAGGAACAAATAGTTGTACACACTGGTGAAAAGAATTTTAAGTGTGGAGAGTGTGGTAAAAGTTATTACAGGAAGAGCCATCTGAACAGCCATATGGTTGTACACACTGGTGAGAAGAATTTTAAGTGTGGAGAGTGTGGTAAAAGTTATCCCAGAAAGGGCGAACTGAAGAGCCATATGGTTGTACACACTGGTGAGAAGAATTTTAAGTGTGAAGAGTGTGGTAAAAGTTATTCCGTAAAGAGCTATCTGAAGAAGCATATGGTTGTACACACTGGTGAGAAGAATTTTAAGTGTGGAGAGTGTGGTAAAAGTTATCCCAGAAAGAACGACCTGAAGAGCCATATGGTTGTACACACTGGTGAGAAGAATTTTAAGTGTGGAGAGTGTGGTAAAAGTTATTACACGAAGATCCATCTGAAGAGCCATATGGTTGTACACACTGGTGAGAAGAATTTTAAGTGTGGAGAGTGTGGTAAAAGTTGTTCCAGAAAGAGCGACCTGAAGAGCCATATGGTTGTACACACTGGTGAGAAGAATTTTAAGTGTGGAGAGTGTGGTAAAAGTTATCCCAGAAAGGGCGAACTGAAGAGCCATATGGTTGTACACACTGGTGAGAAGAATTTTAAGTGTGAAGTATGTGGTAAAAGTTTTTCCAGAAAAGGTGTACTGACGAAACATATGTCTTTACACACTGGTGAGAAGAATCTTACATGAAAGTTGTGGGGAAAGATCTTACAGAAAATGATGTGGAAAACTGTATGGTCTTGCATGCTGGTAGGAACTATTTCAAGTATAAATACTGTAATCGATTATAACATGCTCTTCAAATTTCCTGGGGTTAGGTTCTCAAAATGGCCACGAATAACATTTGCTGACCCTGGGGGAGGGGGCGGTACATTTATACTGTACTCATGTGCAAAGAAATTTATATTTCCTTTATATGTTTGCCTTTACGACAAAAACCTGGAACGTCAATGTGACATTTAAAAACTCATGCACTGTTAAACAAATGTTAAACAAGAACTCCCCCAACAAGCATTTATAAGGTTCCTTGCAAGGAATGTAATATGTTTTACTTAGGCCAGACAGGTAAAGATCTTGTAACTAGACTTAAACAACATAAATATAGTGTTAGGACAGGCCAGGAATCCAATGCTCTGTTTGTTTATTTGAGGGATAATAAGCATTGCATTGACTGGGATAATGCCTCCTCATATTACCTTGTAATTCAATTGACAGTAGGAACATTATAGAATCCAGTCTCATTAAACATACCGAATCCGTCAACATGAATTTGAGTAATGGTATGTACAAACTGGATAATTTCGTAATTAAGAAGATTTGTAACCAGGTGAGAAGGTTGGGTCATCTTACCCTCTGACCTGACTACCGACTGCTGCGGTGCTTTTTGAAGATTAGTGGGGTCATTACCTAATACCTGACCATTGTGGACTTCATCTCACCCTCCTATGTATATACAGGGTGTCCCATAGGTTTCCATACAACGTATCACCAACGCCATTACAAGCATAACTCCAGCTGTGCTTGAACGTGTTCTTCAGCAGTGGAGGACACGCATTGAAGAGTGTTTTCAACAGAATGGTAGTCATGTAGAGCATATTATATAAATAAAAATGGATTTTCATATAAAATTTATTTTTCCTATGTATGGAAATTTATGGGACACCCTGTATATGTATGTATATGTATGTATATATGTGTATGTATGTATATATGTATATATGTATATATATATATATATATATATATATATATATATATATATATATATATATATATATATATATATATATATATATATATATATATATATATATATATATATATATATATATATATTGTTATGTACTTCTCCTTAGTCTGTACTCACCCTTGAAGATATGAATTATACGAAAGCGCTTGGGAACTTCGGGTTGTCTTTTTCCTTGTGGTTCTCAGCATATACCTGGATCACGAGCACCTACAGTGATTTACTTGCATGTATATATATACATACACATACACAGTTGAGTCTGCATTTACGCGGTGGAAGCCCATGGAGTCCCGCTTAAAACGAGAAACGCGTAAATGAAATAACAGAACATATGGAATTAATTGAAATAGAGACTGGGCCGACCCCCCAAACTCCACTTTTTGCGACACAATACGACTTTGTAGTAAAAACAGTATCTTAACTTTATGATGGTATGCACACACACATACTATAGAAGAGAAATATCAATAAGAGAATAATATACAGTACTGTACCAGGTAAAAGAAAAATCAAGTTTTAACACTTATGTTAGGTTAGGTTCGAAAAAATTAAGGCTAGGTTAGGTTTAACACTTACGTTAGTAGAAGAAATGGGTCGGCATATGTTGATGGGGGCTGGTTCCGAGGCAGAGGGCAGATTACTGGCCCTCAAGTGAATCACCATCACTATCCACCACAGTTGTCAGGGCCTCCCTGACAAATTCCTCAAAGTCCATAGCATCACTGTCACTATCACTGGCTTTGGTGGGTTGCGGGCGAAGAAGCCTGTGATGTTACGCTGACAGCTAGTGTTGATGTTGTCGTAATACATCTGGATGTACGGCTCCATAGTCTGCAACAGCTGGTTATTGAAGACTTCATAGCGGTGATCATCAGGGTCGTTGGAAAGGACGAGCTTGAGTTTCTCTGTAAAATCAATGGCATCCTTAATATTACCATGTACTGCGCACATCATTGTCATTCCTAAAAACCCCATTTAATTCATATTACGCTATATAACATTCAAATCCACCGCGCTTGTAGAACCTCAGAAAACGCGAAACATTGATAAAGGATAACTCACCTACTCAATGTTACTAGACCATGTGTTGTATTGTACCCAGGTACAGTTATATCGTATTAATTGTATGTATTCATAGCATTAAGGAGAACTCAGGGTATCCATAAGATGAATGTTAAAGTCCAGTTGAGCCGGACTAGTGTACTGTAGGACTAAGTGTGGATCAGGGTTTGAAGGTCATACTATTTATGTCTGTGAGCGTGTAGCGAACATAACTTCCACAGATATCATATGAAAATACATGAGAACAATTATCTGGAAAAAGGATAAATGTATCAGAACTATGTGAGGTGTTGGAAGTGACCCAGAAACTATACTTGAAAGGAAATATCTTGTATGCGTTGGTATGGACTTAATACACCTCGTATCCTCACGTGACATATGCCCACGACAGGTACAGTGATTAGAGAATCTGGTGTCTGTATTCAAATAGTGCAATGTGTGAGAGGAGGATCCCTCATTACAGTTTTAAGTGAAGTTGATACACCCCCGCCATGAACATTCAGCATTTGTTTCAAGGCGCGTCATGTACCCGCCTCGGGTGCCACGTTGATATTATAACCCCATGAATTTACCCACGAACTCGCAAACCAAGACCTTACCTTAGTGTGTAATTTAGGATTAAATTATGTGTTTATAAGGCATGAGTGACAATATACCGAAAAGTGTTCAGGTGAGAACCATAAGAAACAAAAGTGAAAATTAAAGATTGGAAACTGTAGGCCTACGTGATGAGGAGCGGCGGGGCAATGCCCTCAGTATTCCCCGTTCTACCGTCACCTCAGGTCAGTGTTCTAGCGGGCTATATCCCGCCCTATAATTAAGGTTTATATATAGAAGTTATTACAGTTTAAAGCTTTGCCGGATATATAAGTGTAATAGGAATGTGTTAGGGGGTGGGATAACCGCCCGTCAGGCATTATTTCTCAGTATTCCCCGTTCTACCGTCACCTCAGGTTCCATGCGGTCGGAGTGCCTTGCCGCCCGGCCGCCATTATCCCTTTGAGCATCACAGCAGGTGGTGACTACTCCCCGCTATGCCAATCCACTGTGAACCTGTGGATTTCCAGCACACCACTCCAAATGAATAGTCACAAATAAGGAGACCGTGAGAAA